GGGGGGGGGGGGGGAGTGAGACAGGGAAGTAGGGTTCGCCGAGGCCCAAGGTCGCTAGTAAAGCTGTAGGCACTTAAGGCCTCCGGGTCTTCTGCCACCTTGTGCTGCTGTGTAACCGCGGACGTCTGCCACTCCCCGAATCACACCAGCCTTAGAACTTCTGGGGCATGAAAGAAAGACAAAAGCAATCGATAATCCGTTCAGTTGTTCCTTCAGGAGATCACAGGCAGCAGTTCTTCTAGTAGTTAGTCTATGGTTGGCACTTTGCTGAGTAAAAATGGACAGAAGAATAAAACATCCCTGCTTTCAACGAGCTGACAGACTAGAGAGAGAAACAGAAACAAAGAGTTAATCACAGCGCAGTGTAGTGTGATAAATGCCATAATGCAAACACAGAACATGAACAGGGTGCATGAGAGCGACTAAAGCGGGGACATTCTGAGGAGATTATTGCTTGACTTGAGCTGTTGTACGGAAAACTAACCTGATGCAATGGTGGCTTCCAGGCAAAAACTGCTACTGGGCGAGCTAGCCTAGAGGTAATGAAATAGAAGACTCACAGACCAAAATAAGATGCTTGAATAACATGGTTGATTGAATTGATTTTAATACTCATTGAAAAGCAGGGGGTAGAGGTGGAGTAAGCTGACATATTTAGGATAGGGTACAACCAAGTGCAAGGACATCCCCTGAATCAGGAGTTAAGCCATGTTCATATGTTCTCTCTGCCACATGCGCCTTTCCCATTGATGATATGCTCCTGAGGACTAGAGTTCGGATCAACAAGGAGGCGCACAAAGTGGAAAGTGCTTGGGGCCAATAGCACAAGTCTGCTCTTTGGGTAGGTGCAGGGAAACATTCCTGGTCACAGCCAGAGCTTATTAATTAGCCTGAACGGACATGGGTTTATTTGCATTTAATTAATTATTATTTTTGTGTGTGTGGATAGAGCACAGATGAGGCTGTCACCTATGGATGGCTGATTTAGTGGTGACATAGCTGTCAGCCCAGAGATGGCATAATTATTCATGGCTTAGTTTTTCCATCCTCCCCTTTTGTTTTTTTTACTATAAATATCCCTGTGTTCCATGATATTTTCAATTTATTTTAACTTTGGCATTCCTTATAGTTTACTCACTATGTATATTTAACACAATTCTGCCTATGTTTCGCAAAGTACATGCTTACTCATATTCTCTATATAAAACATTCTATAAATTTTGCATTTATTTCATAAGTTACTAGTGTGTTTAACACTTTCTGACTAACACTTCTTGTGAATTTCATCCATCCTTAAGGAAACTTCAAGGAATTCAGTATAGCTGGAGTGGGAAGCTGAGAGAGGTAGAGGACAGATAATGTCCTTTTAATGCCATATTAGAGATACTAAAATTTATTCTGAAGTAAACTGTAAAACTGTAAGGAGTGTGGAGAACAGGGCAGAGGTACAGTACTGGACAGGAGAGCCAGGTAGAATCTCTTGCCCTAATGCAGGTGATTAATAATGACAGTCTCAGTCAGTTCAGTGGCTCTATGGAGTGAGGTGATTCCACCCCCACCTTCCTTACACATTTAGTAATGTCTGGAGACATTTTTTGTTTTGTTTTTTTTTTCAGCTGGGAGGGCTACTGATATCTAGTGGGGGTGAGGACAGGGAAACTGCTAAACATGTACAACACAACCCCTCACAAAATAATTATCTGATTCAAAATTTCAATAGTTCCAAGACTAAAATACTTCAAATTAAGGGAATTAAGAAAGCAGAGGGGATGGAAGTTAAGCAAGCAGGCTTAGTAACTGATTAGATACAGATGTGAGGAAGGAGAGAATGATTTTAAGGTTCTGGCTTGGGTAACTGGAAGGACAAACAGAGAAATGGGTTAGGGAGAAGAGAGGCAAGGAATTAAATGTTGGATATAGTAAGTCTAAAACATCCAAGTGAAGATGCACAGTACGAAGCTGGAAAGAAGAGGCAGGTGAGAGGAATTTGAGCTGCAGATCAGAATTTTGATAAATGTCAGAATCTCTATGGGCAAGCTTCAAGAATCTGTGTGGGTTGTTGTGCAAGTGATTTGAGAGCATGATAAAATTTGAAAACAATAGATTTAGTTTCAGAGGAGAAGTCTAAGAAGGAGTGGGCAGTAAGGTAGCTGGAAAACTAGGGAAGAGCCAAGTCCCACATACCCAGGAAGGAGAGCATTGGAGGTAGGGCTCCATCAGGACAAGAGGTTGCTATGGGACACTGCTGGCTTTTAGACGTATAATGAGAGTCACATATGTAATTGTAAATTGCAAATTTTTTAGTAGCAATATTAGAAAGGTAAAAAATAGGCAAAATTAATTTTATAAGTATATTTTTATTTAACCCAGTGTATTTAAAACATTATCATTTTACCATGTAATATAAAGTTATTAATAAAGTATGTTATATCTCTTTTCATACTAAGTCTTAGAAACCTGGTGTGTATTTTAGACCTCCAGCACCTCTCAATATGGACTAGCCACATTTCAGATACTCAGTAGCTACATGTGGCTAGTGGCTACCGTCATATTGGATAGCATGACTGTATAAGGTCAAGTAAGAAAGGAACTAAAATGTGTTCTTTAGACTATTAAAATGGTTATAGATGGTGTGATAAGAGCTCTTTCAGTGAAGTGTGAAAAGTTAGGGTTGGTAGTGCGGGGGCAGGCTAACTAGCCATCTCAGATGGTGAGTAAAGAAAAATTGAATTTATTTAAGGAAAGGAAGTGGGGATGGGGATATCCAAAGGGAAGGGCTATGCAGCACTGAGTCAAAGAGTATTGAGTCCATGATGGCAGCAAAAATATACTTGGGACAGTGAAACAAGGAAGAGCATAGAAGCAGCAACAGGAGAGCCTAGGCTGGGCTGCTTTGGCTCACTGAGAAGTCAAAGGGAGAAGGCGGCCTTGGAGACAGGTTCAGAGGGTAGGCCCGGGACGAGCTGCTGCTGCCCATTGCTCCCCTGGTTGCGAGTCCTGTGGGGTCCCCTTGGAGGGAAGAAAGGGCAAGGAGATGGCTAGGGGAGCATGCACTGAGTCCTTTGTCCTGAGTGTATTTATCTCTTTCTTGCAAGTGGAAATCTTAGGGGAGGTCTTGGGAGTGTCTCAATAGAATATTCATCAACTTTCCAGGTGTGCTCTTTCAAGGTTATGGTCTCCACTGATTGGTCAGTGCCAGGGCAAGGGGTCTTTAGTCAATGTAGCTGGTCCTGAGATAGTCATGGAGCCACTTCTCTGGTTTTGCTGCTTTTCTGGGCCTGGGGCTGAAATACAACTGGGGCCTAGATAGTTATCTTTAGGAAGGAAATGTTCAAGGGATCTAAACCACATGACCAGTGGTATGCTAAGGAAGGATACGTTATCCTGGGGACAAGGTTCTTATTATCCCAGTTTTGCCCCTTGCTAGGCATCTGGGGCTTTCTGCCCTGGTGAGGTTCTGTACCCGAGTTTTCTGTACCTGGCCTCTGCTCATGTCTAACAAAGTGGAGGGTAGAAGCCAGAATATACCCAGTTAAAGAGTGGGAAGTTAGAGATAATAGCTACCATAGAGAACATTTTCAAGAAGCTTCTTTACTGTTATTATTATAGTATGAGGGGCTTCTTTTTTGTACTTTTGAGTGTGATTAAGATCAGACAACACAATCCAATTTTTTTATGTAGGTTTTAACAATTACATTTGGACTCTGCTTTTGCAGATTGCCCTCCTACTGGAAACAACTATTTTCAGATATTGGACAACAGGAAATACAGAATTGTGATCCCTGAGAGAAGAGAAACAAATAAGGTAAGTACTATAGTCACCCCAGCTTACTGCCTGGAACCAGTGTTCAGGGCATAGAGCAGGGAGGGGA